AGTTTTGATTAGTGTTTGCATTGAATGACAACTTCTGGAGATTTGGTGACAAATGCGACCAAATGTGAGGTCAGGCGTGAAAACGGGTGAAACCGATGCCACGGAAGCGTGTATTGCATTGAAAGACAGACACCAGTCGTGGACACGAGTGTTGACATCATTGCAGACTATTTCACACAAATGTCAACAGTTTGCCAAAGAGTTTGACATCACATTCAACGACGACAACCAGTTGTCTGAATATCAGGATCTCTTGACACGACTCACCACTCGATTGCAGTCACAAGACGCGTCTTCTGATCACAACAACGATAGCAATGTATTTGTGGATCAGATTGTGTCCGTACAAGACATCGGCAATGAGACTGAAGTTTGGGAACAAATTGATGGCCATTCCGGTGATGTGGCCATCGATGACATCAGATATGATATCTATAGCGATATCTCGAGTGTTGAGACCAATGAGTCATTGAATGAATTGGAGGCAAAGNTTATCAAAAACTTCTATTTAAAGTTGAGAAAGCACATTTTACCCTTGGCCATGTCCTCGACGTCCCACAAACATAAATGTTTATTACAACAGTCCGTATGTTGGCTACAATTTTGACCCAACTTTCGGCACTTTAGTATCGTTTTCAATACAATCGTATTAGTGGTCACTATTTGGGTCTCATTTGTCTCATATATTTTGGTCTCATTTGTATCCTTATCTTGAATTTCACTCTTTAATGAATCGCTAAAAACTCTTTGAATCATAAATGCATACAAAAGTTTTAATTGTAATTAAATTAAATTGTTATTAAATTAAAAGAAATCGGTTTTATACCCAAAATATGCGATTAGTATAAAAATTGGCATTAATTTCACAGACATTAGACTAAATACTGTTAAACACAATAACAAAAATAATTTAATAATACTTTATATATTTAATATTAGGCATGTATACAGTAATAATAATTTTCAAATACTTTGTATAAAAATTAATTTGTGTCTAAAGTCTGGTATAAAAAAATGTTATAAATTAATGTTTAAACACATGAATCTCATAAACCATAACCAAGGAGACAGATATCGTATCGCGAAAAAAAGACCCGGAGTGACAAACAAAACAACATTGCTCACTTATATGAACAATAGGAACTCTAAACAAATTACAAATTTAATTAANAAAAATGTTATAAATTAATGTTTAAACACATGAATCTCATAAACCATAACCAAGGAGACAGATATCGTATCGCGAAAAAAAGACCCGGAGTGACAAACAAAACAACATTGCTCACTTATATGAACAAAAGGAACTCTAAACAAATTACAAATTTAATTAACATGAACGTATTTTCCGATAAACCGGACATTTTCCTAATATGTCTTATAATAAACTATTGTATTATGTATCAAACCATATTAACACCAATCCATAAAACTCTATTAACAAGTTTTCAAATTAAAAAAGCATTTATCTGGGTAAATTATAGACATACAATACAAGATCATTGATCATTAACCATATTGTAAACTACAAATTTTCAATTACAAATTATAATCAGTATTCAAGACCCCGTTCCCCCCGAAAGGGTCGGTGATCGTGACAATGCCTCTCAGAATACTATTAATAAAATATAAATATTGTTATAAGTGTTTATAATGTGAACGGATTTTATATTATTAGATAACTATTGCACTGAATATAATACATTTGGCGTAATATTTTCCAATTTTATGCAATCCTATTGACTATTAACGAGAATTTTATAATCATTTCGCTTGAAAATTGCTGCCAAATGTATTCAACCGTTAAAGCTATTGTCTAAGACTTATTAAAATCAACACAATAGGCAATATGTAGTGTACCGCATGAACACAATTAGTCTAATAGACTACACAATAAAAACTACATTGAAATCTAAATACGGGTAAAATAAAATAAACACCAAAATTAGTCCAATTAATTAATTTTATTAAAACTCTTTTTATGCAAAACTAGTATTTGAACTCTGCTTTCACTTTGTATTTGACTTTATTTATAAATAATTATTACAAAACATCTTATTTACAATTAGTTTGCATTACTATTAATTATATTTATTTAAACTCACAAAATACTATTCATATAACAAAATACTAAACAAAATGAATTTTGAAAACTAGCTCTCATTCATCACTTTGAATGCAATATTTGATGATAATATAGACGGAAATAGCAGTGACCATGAGTACCAGGGCCACAATGAGCGAGCTAAACCAGAATGGGTAGTGACAGCTCCAGGTGTGGTACTGATAGTGGGAACAGTTCTTATACTCCAGGAGTCGGATCTTCCTGTCGTAGGATTCACTCAATTTGTCATTTTGCGCTCATTTCGGCTAAACTAAGACAGGACTCAATCGCCACCTCACATACCATACCACTTGTGACCAACAAAAGTAGTGATAAGACAATTGTCATTACATTTGCGGTCATTTCTGTGTAGGAATTGTGTCAATGTATGTGTGGTTTAAGTGTTTTTTGAATAACTGCAAAAAAAAGTTCTTATCGTACATGTAATTTATAAACAAGGCGTGAATTAACAATAAAATATTATTTAGAGTTTAAGTTTAAGTTGGTCCTAGAAATACTAACAAATCGTATCTTAATGTATAAAAACAATGATATTTTACTATATTTCAAAACATTAAAATACTTTAATCACAATTATAAGCATAAAGTCTAAGTTTGTGGGTGAAATTTCTTGAGATGCCATTCCAGAGCTTTTGGTGTCTTAAACCTACGCCAACAAGTCTCGTGAGTACAGGGGATCGGCAGCTCTTTGGTAATGGTCTCATTGCCAGCAATATTAGTCAATTTGACGACATTTCTCACTTCCTTTTGAGGCTTCACTGGATTCTCGACCACAGACTGAAAGACACGACTTGTGGTGGGGTTGTTGTGGCCAATCATTTGAGGCAATGATTGATAGTTGTGTTCATTTGGTATTTGGATTCGCGTTGAATTGAAAGCTCGGATGCGATCCAAACGAATCACATTTGACTGAATACTAGGGTAATGTGAACCCGATGTCTGACTCATGGGTTGGATCTGAGAGTAATTGTCGGTATTGTCACAGATTTCTTCGATATTGTAACTATCGTTGAAGTCGTTGTCATTTCCCTTAAAGAAACAAATTTGTTACAAATATATCACAAAATGTTTGCATACTTTTTGGTGCATTTTCCTGTCGTGAGCCAGAAGTCCCCTTTTGGTATTAAAAGATTGTTTGCAGTCGTCGTACAAACACTTAAACGCCTTTTCGGTTGAATTTTCAGCGAATTTATGATTGAATTGAATGTGAGAGTGAAGTGTGGTTTTGTACGAAAAGCGTTTATCGCAGTGTAGACACGCAAAAGGCTTGGCACCGGTATGTTTGTTGGTGTGTTGCAATAACTTAAATGAAAATTAATCAATAAACAAATTGTCTGTTAATTAAAATACTACTCAATCGTGAATACCATAGATCTGGTGGAGTATATGGACGGACATCCGGGCCAATCGCATCGAAACTTTTTACTAACTTTTGGTTTCGAAATACTTTGTTTCCGTGATTTCCGTTCATTTGATTGTTTCACTACTTTCTCGGATTTATGCAAATCTTTATGGAAACAAATAAATTGGTAGTAAACACTCAATTGTATCCAAAATTGTCACCAAAATTACCAGATTTTTGATGTGCTTTCAAATGTGTGTCGAGATTATTGGCGTACCGGAAGCGTCGCTCACAGCCCGGCCAATCGCACGGGAACTTCTTAAGCTCGCCTTTAAAGTCATAGTCGGAGTTGGGATTAGAGTTATTCTTCGACTTATATCTCTTGAACACCACTTTCTTGCCCTCATGTGCTCGCATGCGATGAATGTNCATAGTCGGAGTTGGGATTAGAGTTATTCTTCGACTTATATCTCTTGAACACCACTTTCTTGCCCTCATGTGCTCGCATGCGATGAATGTCGAGTTGTTGCGTATGGTTTGTGCGCCACTCACAGCCCGGCCAACTGCACTGGTACTTCTTGATGCCCGTGTGCTCGGACTCATGTACTTTCAGCTGAGACATTGATATGAAGGCCTCCGTACACGTCGGCCAATCGCACCGGTATTGCCTCAGCTTTAAGTGAATCATCTCTTTGTGCACTAAATTTTGTAGACATTATAGTGAATAAAACACAACTTAACCAAAAGTATGGCTTACGTTTGAGACCACTTCCATAGCTAAACAAAAAGCAAACCATAAGAATTAAAATATAAAACAAACTCAAGAGAGCGAAGCGATTACAAACCGGAATGTCTTTCCACACGATTCCCAATCGCATACAAATGGCTTCTCACCTGAAATATAAAATAATTTATTAAATTAGAAAATACTTTCCAAAACATGAGCTCATTTACCAGTGTGTTTGCGCATATGGTTGTTAACTGCGGACACATTTTCAAACGCCATCCCACAGGCGGGCCAACTGCACACGTAGTTCTTCTCACGGCGTCGTCTGGACAATGGTTTACCTTAAAAAAGCCAACAGTTTTTGATACAAATAAATGCCAATTCATTAGAAGCCAATCTAATTACCCGTATATTTATTGATATACTGTTCGGGCGATTCATCACTCGGTTTGTATCTGTTTCTGCGATTGAGTGCAACATAACTGGACTTTTGTCGGCCTTTCAGATCATTATCACCGGAAATCACTTCAGAATTGTTTTCGTTATCACAGAGACTTTGTTCACAATTCGTGTCAATGTTTTGCGAGTTTTCTCTCTTCTCTCCTTTGGTTTTAAAGCCGATTCGACTGTCATTTGGAAATGAGTT